GTGCTTCATCCATTGTTGTGCCTGTAAGAGATGATGTCTCAGTTCCCTTAGCACCTCATCTCGTTGCGTTAGCTGTTCTTCAACGGCCGCTACTGTGGTGGTTCCTTTTTCATAAGGAAGTAGAGGGGGAGGGTCCCGACCATATAAAGCTCTGAAGGGTGCCATCCCCGTGGCGTTATGGAAAGTGGTGTTGTACCACCATTYGGCCCAGTGGATCCACTTCACCCATTGTCTTGGTCGATCTCCCGCGAAGCATCTCAGATATGTTTTGAGACTCTTGTTAACCGCCTCTGTCTGTCTATCAGATTGGGGGTGGTAGCTAGTTGACTTGAACAGTTTAACCCCGTGCAGGCGGAAAAGCTCAGCCCAGAAACGGCTCATAAAGATGGGGTCCCTGTCTGATACGATTGAGCTGGGGAGCCCATGTAGGCGCACAATTTCCTGGAGGAATAATTCAGCAACTGTGGCTGCTGTAAATGGGTGTGATAGAGGTAGGAAATGACTGTATTTCGTCAGTCTATCTCCTACCACAAGGATAACTGTTTTGCTGGCAGAAACGGGCAATCCCGTGTTGAAATCCATTGATATATCATCCCAGACTTGGGTTGGTATTGGGAGTGGTTGCAAGAGGCCTGCTGGTATTGTAGTGGCTGACTTGTTTTGTTGGCATACTGCACACTCGGCTATGAAGTTCTGGATAGATGTACGCATGCCTTTCCAATGGAATTGTGTGGCGATGCACTTTTGTGTTCGTAGGATGCCGGAGTGGCCACCTGTGGGTGAGGCATGGAATAATTCCAGGAGCTTCCTGAGATGAGGAGAGGCTTTCGGGATTTTCAGGCGTCCCTTGAAGAAGAGTAGATCATTCTTAATTGTGTACCCTGGGTGCAGTGAGGGATTTGCCAATACTTGGGCCTTCAACTGCTGTAACTCCTTATGGGATTGGGCTTCTTTTTGCAGTAGATCCAGGAGTGGAGAAGTTGGGGAAGATACTAGTAACTGAAATGACTGTGGGTGCCGTGAGAGGGCGTCCGCCACTCGGTTAGCAGCCCCTACTTTGTATTCAATTCTGTAGTTGTACCCCAGTAGCTTGGATATCCAGCGGTGTTGTTCCGGGGATAGAACTGATTGATCCAATAAGAACTTCAGACTTTGATGGTCGGTCCGAATTGTGAACCATCTACCGATCAAGTAGGTTCGCAAACGTTGAACTGCTAAGACTATTGCTATTAATTCTCGCTCAAAAACTGATTTGGCCCACTTTTGTGATGTTAAGGCCTTGCTGAAAAAGGCTAGTGGTCGCCCCTCTTGCATGAGAACAGCCCCAACGCCTTGACCGGAGGCATTACACTCAACGATGAAGTCTTTTGTGAAATCGGGCAGTGCTAATTTTAGAGGGCTTGCAACTGCTTGTTTCAATTGCTCAAAAGCTTGTTGGGCCTGGGTTGACCAGTTAAAAGTGTCTTGTTTCAGCAATTGGGTCAATGGGGTAGCTTTTAGGCCGTAGTTTTTGATGAAGTGGCGGTAGTACCCGGACAGGCCCAAGAAGGCCCTTAATTCTTTCACACATTTGGGTTGCAGGCAGCCCATTATACTGGAGATTTTATCTGGGTCAGCCGCTACAGTCCCCTTTTCTACAACATGTCCCAAGTTGTGAACTTGGTTTTGTCCAAAGGAGCACTTGGACTCTTTAGCGAACAGCTGGTGGGCCTCAAGTGTTGCAAGGGTGACCTGTAGATGATTCAAATGTTCCTCCCAATTGGGGCCATACACCAATATGTCATCAAAGAAAACAAGGATGAACTTACGTAAATATGGCTGGAATATGTCATTCAACAATGCCTGAAATATGGCTGGAGCATTGGTCAGCCCAAATGGCATGCCCCGGATTGAAATATGGCTGAAAGCCGTTTTGTGAACATCCTCCCTATGTACCCTTATTTGATGATACCCAGCTCGTCAATCCAGTTTTGAGAATATGGTGGCTTGACTGAGTTCATCAAGCAACTCATCAATATCTGGTATCGGGAATCGGTCTTTAATGGTGATGCTGTTAAGTGCTCTGTAATCAATACAAAACCGCCACGTCCCATCCTTTTTCTTGACTAATAGTACCGGTGAAGAGAATGGGGTGTGACTGGGCTGTATTGTCCCTTGCTTAAGCATATCTTGAACTTGCTTCTCGATTTCAGATTTTTGAAAGTAAGGGTATCGGTAGGGTCTTACATTGGTTGGGGCTGATCCTGGCATGAGGGGGATGCGATGGTCATGCTCCCGGCGTGGTGGCAGTCCTTGGGGTTCTTTGAACACGTTGCCATAGTGCTGAAGGAGTTGTTGTAGGCGGCTTTGGAAGTCTCTAGGCCCATCTGCTGTTAGCTAAGGATGGCCTGGTCCAATTTGAGTCCATGTGCATGAATATGGGCTGATCTAGATCTCCTCTTTGCTTTGTCAGTGCTGTCTTAACCATTGAATGCCTAGCACCACGTCCGCTCCACTGAGATGGTGAGGATATAGGTCCACCGCAAACTGATGACCCTGAATCTTTAGTGGTAGGCCCATGCAAATGCTATTGCAAGATAGGCTATTACCGTTGGCCACATAAACCGTAAAGACCGTTGTTGGTTGAACCGGAAGTCCCATTTTATCCCCCAAGACTTGAGCTATGAAGTTAAGGGAGCTGCCACTGTCTATGAGGATTGACACTTGGCGTCCTAGGATAAGCCCTGCAACTCTCATTGTTTGAGGGGGCGCAAGTCCCGTAAGGGCTTGTAGGGATATTTCAGGCGTGCCATTGGATTGTATTTCCCACCCTGGGTTAGATTCTCCGCAACCGGTGATGTCGTCTTCCTCTTCGGCATCTGTTTGGAGGAGAAATGCTTGTTACTTCTTGCAGCGATGGCCCGGCCTAAATTTTTCTTCGCAGTTGTAACAGAGACCTTTGTCTCTGCAGGCTTGCATCTCTGCCCAGGTCAGCCATTTGAAAGGAACCAGTGGGCCTGGGCCCAGTACTCCTTCCTCTTTGTCTGGTGCTGTCATCCTTTCTTGTTCCCTTCTTGCTCCTGGACCCCATGGTCGTTGCACCTTTCTTGCTCGACTGAACTTGTCCTCATACAATCTTGCTAGTGCTGCCACATTGATGACCGAAGTGGGTTGCATCGCTTTCACTTCCAGTCGCAGTTTTTCTTTTAGGCCGTCAACGAAGCTTCCCACCAACGCCTTCTCCGTCCACCCTTGGACTCTCACGGCCAACCTTTCAAACTCCATCTGGTATTCCTTTACTGATCCCACCTGCTGCAACTTTGCCAAATTTTCATCAAGATCTTCGAACCCAGATGATCCAAAACGGACAGTCATGGCGTCCGTGAAGTCTACCTAGGTTTGACGAGGGTGCCCCCTTCGGTACCATTGAAACCAGAGGATAGCTTCCCCTTCAAGATGCGCAGAAGCCAGAGCTACCCTATCTTGCCCCGGTGTTTCATGGTAATCGAAAAACCTTTCGGCTCTGAGAATCCAGGGAGTTGGGTCACCGCCAGAGAAGATGGGGAAGTTGATTTTGGCTATTCTCGTTGCCGCCTCTGTTCTGCGGTTGTTTTCATTGTTGCTCTCTTCTTGGCTTCCTCTGTTAATGTTCGTTGCCCCCTGCTCCAGTCGAAGGAGGAGAGCAGTGAAACCTTCCTTCATTTCTTTGAGATCTGAAGACATTTGATTGATCTCTACCTCCATCTGATCCACTCGGGTGTCTACTGACGTGTTTCTTGTGTTGGTCATGCTGGCTCTGACACCAAATTGTTAGGAACCTGCCTAACTCGGGGCTCTTCGAGGGGCCAACCTCTTGAATTCTTGGAAGAAGAGAGAGAGAGAGAGAGTTTAATGCTGAAAGAATCAATGTCTTATTCCTTTTCTTCTCTACTACTTATAATTTTACAATCTTGATTGTCTTTTTGTTACAGTTGTTGCAAGTGGATGGTTAGTTGTGCTGACGTGGCATCCTCTTGTAAAATTGATTAACTGCTTTCTGTTGGTCTGTTCCAGCAGTCTTGACAAGATGGTAGGTAGGTCAATGATCTAACATTTCAGGTCAAATGGGTCAATCTATGATGTCATAACTAATTAATATATATATATAGATATATAGATAGATAGATAGACACACACACACACACACAGAGAGGGAGAGAGAGAGAAAGAAAAATATAAGCTTTGTATAAAGCATTTTGATACAGTTTCGTTGTTATATATTCACCATATTAAACAAAATAAATGTGAAAATAAGAATTACTTTTATTGATGATGAAAATGGAATACATGATTTAAAATTAACCAAAAAAAGCGAAATGATTTTTCCATCCAAGTGGTGGGTTAGTGGTTAAATTATCTGTGTCAAATGGTTTAACACATGATGTTATTATTAAATAATATAGTTCTAGAAAATGTAGAAATTTGTTGATAATTTTGGGTACATTCTATAACATTATATATTCATCATATAAAAAAGTGTGATTAATGAAAATTATTTTCATTAATGATAGAAATGGGATAAAAATTAGGATAAAAAATAAAGAGTATTAATGTCTAACACATGACCCGACTAACCATGTCAAATGGTTCAATAATTTATTTAGCTAGGTCATCGTAGGCAAGTGGTTTGGTAGGGATGCAAACAGATTAGATCATATTTGAATTAGGGTATATTCAAATCTGATCTGATCGAAAGATTCAATCGGATTTCATAAATATTGATTCAAATCTGAATCCCATCAAGATGTCGGATATACGAATCTGATATGATATGACTTAATTTTTTAAAGAAAATAATAAATTATTAGAAGAAAAAGAAAATATAACAGTTGAAATAAAAAATATAAGTATTTTCAACTATTTCCATCATAAAAGAAGTTTACAAAAATGCAATATAAATAACATATTTATAAATAAATAATATATAACATATATATTATATATAAATACTATATATATAAATAATTGATTTGACCACAATATTAAAAACCAATGTTCAAACAATATATTGGAATTGTATTTCCTCTTGGTAAATATGTATTTTTTACTATCTCATAAATTAAATAATAAAAAAAATAAAGATTTTTTTATAAATTTTATAAAATAGTTGAACATACATTAATATTATATATTCTTCATATTAAACTAAAATATTTTTGAAAAAATAAGAATTATTGTTAGTAAAGATAGAAATGGCTAAAATACAAAGAAAAAAATGAATTAATGTCTTAATCATAGTTCATTTTCTTAGTTGAATAGGTTAAGGGTTCAACCAGTAAGGTCATTTGGTTGCTGATTATCATCATCATCATCCTTTGATACTGCCACGTGCAAAAATAAATGTGAAAATAAGAATTACTTTTATTGATGATGAAAATGTAATAAATGATTTAAAACCAACCAAAACAGAAAAATGGTTTTTCCATCCAAGTGGTGGGTTAGTAGTTCAATTATCCATGTCAAATGGATCAACACATGTTGCTATTATTAAATAATAAAATACATAAAATTCTAGAGAATGTAGAAATTTATAGATCATTGTGGGTACATTCTATAATATTATATATTCATCATATAAAAAATTGTGATTAATGAGAATTATTTTCATTAATGTCTAAAATATAGAGCATTAATGTCTAACACATGACCCCACTAACCATATCAAATGCTTCAATGGTTTAGTTAGTTAGGTCATTGTAAGCAAGTGTTTTGGTAGGGATTAAATTTGATTTGATCCGAAGATCTTATCGGATCTCATAAATATTGATTCAAATCTGAATCCGATCAAGATGTTGGATATCTGAATCTAATATGATCCGATTTAATTTGAAAAAATCATAAATTATTAAAGAAAAACAAAAAATACAAGTATTTTTCAATTATTTTCATCATATAAGAAGTTTACAATAATGCAATATAAATAACATATTTATAAATAAATAACAAATAACATATATTATATATAAATGATATATATATATAATTGATTTGACCACAATATTCAAACAATGTATTGGAATTACATTTCCTCTTGGTAAATAAGTAATTTTTATTATCTCATAAATTAAATAATAATAAATAAAAATATAAATTTTATAGAAAAAATTGAACATGCATTAATATTATATATTCTTCAGATTAAACAAAAATATGTTTGAAAAATAAGAATTATTGTTAGTAAAGATAGAAATGGTTAAAATACAAAGAAAAAAAATGAATTAATGTCTTAATCATAGTCTATTTTCCTGGTTAAATAGGTTAATGATTCAACTAGTAAGGTCATTTGGTTGCTGACTATTATCATCATCATCATTCGATATTACCACGTGCAACACACGTACACTTTTACTAGTTATACATATATTTACCAATGATGTTTGTACCCTACCCTTATACAATTAAATTGTTGTTTTCATACAGCAAGTATAATAAGTTGTTAACTTTTTCAATGATTACTGCAATCTCCTTTTATTTTCTGATATATCAATTGCTAAAATATGTTTATTTGCAGGTCATTCATTTTCAACCACACACATTATTTTTCAATAGGACTGGTCAGAGTCTATCTTTACAGCAATGTGAGACCCAGTCGATACAGTACGCTCATCCAACTGATCCTCCAAAGCCATTTCAATGGAAATCTACAGCCAAAGATGAAATGTTAAAGGTTAGTGCAAGTCACCCTTGTATTCAGTCAGACTGGGTTCTTACATTCCCTTAGTTGCATTTGGTTGCAAAGAAATGATAAGAAAAAAGTTGAGAAGGAATAAATAAATAAATTAGGGAAAATGGATTTCCTTACTAAAACAAAAGTTGAGTAGCTTCGCTTTTTATTTTTGGATAAAAAAATTGCGTAGCTTTATAGAAACCAAACAATTTCTTTGGAAAATATTCCAAACAAATAACACTGTTTTAGTGTACCAAAAATTGAGGTGTCTTGCGATTTAAAATATTAAACTTTATCTCTCTTGCTTATTTCCTAAGGAGCCAAAGAATTTCCTCCAAAAATGTTTCACTTATTTTATGAGGAATCAAACAGAGCATAAATGTTAACAAATCATGTTTCACTTATTTCCTTATTTCCTCCAAAAATGTTTCAGTTATTTTAGTTTTCCATCAATTTTCAACAATTACCGATTATGTCCCGATTTTTCAAACTTCATGTAAACCATTAAAGTAAGGTTTTTATGTTTAAATAACTTATTTTTTAGGATTTATTTGAGTTTCTTAACATATCCATGTGTATCTTGGTTTTTCGCCCATATCTATTTGTATCCAAAGCGTATCCCAATACGTTTCTTAAAATTTCCTTTCCGATACTTTAAACCTTGACTATGGCTGCTGTTTGGCCTTGATTTCAGTTGCGGGTGGATGGATACAGATGGAGTACACCATTTAGCATTGGAAGTGAAGGTGTCATGTGTGTCTCCTTGAAGAACAATGTAGGAAGTGACCAGATGTATCTAAGTGTAGAAGTACGAAGTGGAGCAAAAGGCTCACGCTATGAAGTTATTTTCCGACCATCATTTCCAAGCCCTTACAGGTTAGTATTAATGTATTAATTATTCAATTTTCTCAGTTTGTGGACGGAAAAGTGATTAGAATCTCCATATTGAAATGAATTAACATTTTAAAAATCTGTACCAGACATCAACAAGGTTGATCCAATTAGGTTGAACAATCAGTTCAATTCAGCTCATGACAATGATAAGCAAAGTTAATAGTTAGTCTGTCCTATATAGTTACACAGAAGACTTTATGCATATCATATTCCTTGCATCCTTTTCATACTTGGAGTTGTAGGCAAGTAGGGTTTGGCACTGTGGAGATCCGCCTGAAAGATGGCAGACGTCTGGGCAATGATGGTTGTTGAGAGAATAAAAGGGTTGCAGAGAGTGAGGCTTCAGGTCTCAGATCTGAAATCTAAGAGGGCTCTGGCGGGAGGAGTCTCTAGAGGCGAGAAGTAATAACCTTCGGGGTTCACATGATCTCTGAGTGTGAAAAAATGATCGTCCAGATCCTCTCAAGGGACCTTATTTATAGCTTTCCTGGAAGCCTTTTCCCTTCCAGAATGTTCCTTTCCCGAGTTTGTTACAAAGCTATCTAATATGAACCATCTAGACTAATTCGAGTGTCACCATGTTTCCATGTCATTACCTCAATACTTGGGCTCTTGTCCTTTCCTGACGTGCGCATGTGAGGGCATGAGTTACTACACCCCTTCCTAAGTCTAGTGGAAATGCAATAGGATAGATAGTGATGAGGTTAATTGCCAATTTGCATGTGTGATGGACGCACCAGATGAGTGCTCCATTAGGAAGCTCAATGTGATAACGCAATGTCATATGCATAGTTCCCATCACATCCCAATCTGTGAGTTGCAATCAATTCAATCCATTAATATTTTCATGAGTTCATTTTGTTTAGATTATTATGCATAAACTCAACAGACATTTAATTAGTTGTAAGTGATAATAAAAGTTTAACATGATAATGTCACTTCTGTTTTTTTCACTAATTGGCCATGCTTGTTCCAGTTTTATTTCCTCCATTTGTAAATAACCTTTAATTATTCTTAACAGGATCGAGAACCGTTCTATGTTTTTACCTGTACGTTATCGACAAGTTGATAGTACTAGTGATTTTTGGTGGACGCTTCTTCCTAATGCAGCAGCTTCATTTCTTTGGGAAGATATTGGTAGAAGACGATTATTGGAACTCATGGTGGATGGAAATGACCCCTTAAAAACAGAGAAGTATAATATTGATCAGATTTTTGACTACCAGCCCATTCATGTTGCGGGGGGACCTGTTAGGGCTTTACGTGTTACTGTCCTGAAAGAAGAGAAAATCAATGTGATTAAGATTAGCGATTGGATGCCAGAAGATGACACCTCTGCAACTGTTCCTAGAAGTTCATTACATTTGCCGCAACTAACCAGAAATGATTCACTACATCAACAACCAATTTCTAATACAGATTGTGAATTTCATTTTCTTGTTGAGCTTGCAGAGCTAGGCTTATCTATTATTGATCACACACCTGAGGAGATACTTTATCTTTCTATACAGAATCTTCTGCTGTCACATTCGAGTGGCTTGGGCTCTGGAATCAGTAGGTATAATTTCCTTCAACAAGTACTTGTCAGTCTTTACAAAGTTATCTTTTGGAAAGAATTGATCAAATTTTCTGAACCTATGATGGTGTTTAATACCCATGAGCCTTGTTTTACATCCATTATATGTCAGGATCAAGTTACGGATGCAAACAATCCAAGTGGATAACCAATTGCCATTGACACAAATGCCTGTTCTCTTCAGGCCACAAAGAGTTGGGGAACAAATTGATTACATATTAAAATTGTCTATGACAACGCAATCAAATGGTTTACTAGATTTATGTGTGTATCCATATATCGGTCTCCATGTATGGACTGTTCTCCTTTTCTCAGTTTAATGTTTTTCTTTGCAGGAACTTTGTTTTCTATTTTTTCGTTTTTTATTGATTTTGATTTTCAATTTCTTTTATCTAGCAGGTTCCTGACAAATCAGCATTTTTGATAAACATCCACGAACCCATCATATGGCGCATTCATGAAATGATCCAGCAAGTTAACACAAGTAGATTATTTGGCAGTCAAACAACTGCTGTGTCAGTTGATCCAATTATACAAATAGGGTATACAGCAAAGAAATCCAATTTTAATTTTCCAGATGACATTTTTTTTACTTTTTCAGAATGTTCTTTCTTTAGAATTCTAAGAATCAAAATATCTTCTGGACAAGCAGGATATTAAACATCTCAGAAATCCGGTTCAAGGTATCAATGGCTATGTCACCAACTCAGCGGCCAAAGGGTGTCCTTGGGTTTTGGTCATCTTTGATGACTGCATTGGGTAACACTGAGAATATGCCTGTATGTCCTGAATTTTTCTTATATTGTTTTGTATTTGTTGAAGCATCTGACTTCATTTAGACATTTAATCTTCAAAAATTCTTCTAAGGATATCTTAGGCACCCATTGGGTGGACCTAAAGAACTTTCTTTCAGGCCCATGCAAAAACAAGTGGATATTTGTGTCAGTTGGAGCTCTACATGATGCATCTTACCTAAGAGATCGCTTTGGAGTCAGGCTATTATTGACCCAACTGGATGAATACGACCATTCATTGCTATGTTATCAATCTTCAACATATCTTATATCACAGTTAAAAATTCTTCTAAGGATATCTTAGGCACCCATTGGGTGGACCTAAAGAACCTTCTTTCAGGCCCACGCAAAAACAAGTGGATATTTGTGTCAGGTTGGAGCTCTACATGATGCATCTTACCTAAGAGATCGCTTTGGAGTCAGGCTATTATTGACCCAACTGGATGAATACGACCATTCATTGCTATGTTATCAATCTTCAACATATCTTATATCACAGTTAACAATATTGGCGAGATTTGGCAATTTTTCCATGGAATCTCCCCATTTTTCTAGGAGGCAATACAAAATTTTCCAAAAACCTTTTTTTTTCTAATATCTCCAATATATTGCCTATGTGTATCAATATTTCAAGTTTCATTTATATACTATACATTTAAGGTTTAAATTTTAAGAATACCATAAAAAATTCTTTACATTTCACTAAAATCATCATAATTTTTTAAATATCTTTTAGGAAAAGGACAAATGGAGATCTGGTGATTAGATTATTAGCTTACTATTCTTATATGATTCACTTACTAAATCACAATATTTCTAAAAGAAAAAAGAAAAACACACACACAAGACACAAGTACAACAAAGGATTCCCATCTAATCAAAATGCATAAAAACAAAAAAGAAAACAGCCATAATGGCAAGTAAATGACATACATAATAAAGAGAAGATGGCTGAAAGACTAAAAGTTTAGCGGAGAAAGATACCAAAGCAAGTCTCCTAATCGTTTCTTATTTGATTTATACAGTTATTCACCATGGTTATTTTAGCCTTAAACATGTAACTATACTACTTCTATTGATTCTTTGGTGAAATTAGCGAAGTATCCCCAAAATTTCCCCATCTCTACATGAAGAAATGTCCATCCATATCAAAATTGCAGATCATGCTTTAATTTGTTTTGTAAGATAACATCAAACATTGGAGGATAGAATAGATGTTTTGCCTTAACTTGTTTTGATCTGTTTTCATCAGATCAGGATTAATCAGAGGTTTAGTGAAGTTGTATGCACGAGGCAGAGTTCTCTTATTAGCTCTGCTATTTCGAACATTCAGAAGGATCTTCTTGGTCAGCCTCTTCAACTGATATCAGGTGTTGATATACTTGGTAATGCAAGCAGTGCACTTGGACATATGAGCAAAGGTGTTGCAGCTCTATCAATGGATAAGAAATTCATCCAAAGCAGGCAGAGACAGGTTCTAACCATTTTCTATTTGCTGGTCCTTTCAATACAAACTTTAACTGTAATTTACCTAGTACAACTATTGAGCACCAATTGTGATGTGGTCAGAAAAACAAATTACATGCAATACTTCAAGTATACAGCAATAAGCACAAGAAATACCAAGTTGAAACAACAAACAAGTTGGATTTTTAGGGATTTCAGACCTGAACCTGAAGTAAAACTCCTCCTAGAACAGTTCCTCTACAGTAACAATGGCAGCAAGCTGGCCTCCCGCATGGACACACAGTGATGGAAGGATTGGAAGGTGCCAAAATGGGTCAACTCCTCAAAACCTATGCTCCCAATGCTTGATAACCCTATCCGGGGCTGAGCTACAGATCAAACAAGAGAGAAAGAACCAAAAGACCCCTATAGAAACAGCCCCCTTCTCTTTTATAAGACCCACTGCCTTGCTGGACAAGCCAATTAAAATATTCACACATAAGCCCCTAGAATGCTTCCCTCTCACAAGCAACTACTTAAGAACAAAGCTAACTTCAAATGAGCCCTCAAAAGATAACTTTTGTTACAAAAAGACCCAAGAGACCAAAACCCAACAGAAATACACCCAACTGCCCTTGACCAAATATCTGACTTATAAAATGACGAAAATACCCCTGGTCCCTAACTATCAACAAAGCTACCCAAAGACAACAATTTGGAATCCCACTACAAAAAGAAACATGCAAAACAGAATACATTCACACTTATTTGCCTCATCATTCTCGTCGGGTTAAAAAGAGCTCGGCCCCGTGCACGTAGCAATTTTAGCAGGCCTTGCACATGTTTTCATCTAGCCTCATAAACTCCTCTTCACTAATCCAAGAGTTATCAATTGATGGTTTCCCTTCCCACTTGACCAAGAACCTAAAATAGGTTCCATTTCGAGTGTTGATGACTCAAACATCTTCTGCGCCCTCTACGTTTTCAAACTCATTAGAACTATTGGCCCTTTGTGCTTGTCCTTGCCCACCCTTTGTTGTTGGTTCTAGATCCTCATGGTAATCAAAGAGGTCTGCTACATTAAAAATGGGTGAAATGGACAAATCAGCTGGTAGCTTAATTTCATATGCATTGTCACCAAATTGTCTCAGCACTTGATGTAATCTGAAGTGCTATACTCGAAGTAGCAAG